TACAACACTGTAATGATTGTCACGTACGGGTACGGAGAGGCAGGTGATAGCTAACACTTAATCGCGTCACAGCTTTAACTAGGGCATGCCTGCTAGTGCATGCATTGTAATCTCATTTAATTCAATCGTCTAGTGTATACTGCTTTACTACAATAATAAATTGCTGTGCTAATAAATAGATCGTGAGTTACTGATTGATGGAGAGCTTCGCGTGATTGGACGTATATATATTACATTGCAATTATGAGGTTGTTTGAGTTCCAGCGGGCCCGCACCGCAGTTTTGTATTACTTAAACCTTGATTACATGTCCGCTCATATATATTATTTTGGTGCATCGTTCTAAAGGGTACCGAATCTTAACAAGTATGGCCGAACAAACTTGGCACCGTATTGCTATGAAGTCGAACTGGAACCCAATGTGCGGAAAGGAGCTTTTATTCCAATCTTGAATCCAAGCGAGCTGAGACCACGGATGGGACTATACTACGCACTGTTTTTGAAAAATATACAAGCGCGTGGCAAGAACCAATTATCACCATACCTTGTATTATGCTATTGCATGGGGATTAGGTAATGCAGTCTGCAGCATTTTCACACGATATCTTGAAAGCGATATATTAAAGAGAGCTGTTGCAATGCAGGTTGCACAAGTAATACATACAGGGTATTAGACAGGAATGAGTATTGTGGGAGTGCAGAAAAAATATTTGGGAGTGTAATTTTACAAAAGTACATGGCTTTAGATCAATATTTACGGCCGTGCTACACCATTTTTGGCCGCTGCAGTTTCAAGAGAAAAAACACTGACCGTGCAAATCACGGCTGCCCGGTCCGCTGGTTAATACGTGTGAATAAAATATATCATGAACAAATCACTATAAAGCATGATGAAACAGTTATCAGCTGGCTGGGAATTGCTTTCAGACTAATCTACAGCATGTTGTAAAGCGACCTTTTAAAAGATGCAGGTAATCATCTAGGCTTAATCTCAGCTAGGTAAAAAGTTGAATGAAGGGGAATCTGTGATTGCGCGAGCACGCCTGCAGTGATGAGTCATTTCGCATGCTGATCTCTCGTGTGTCTCAGGTTTGTCACGACCGTCTCGGATTGCCTCTGTCCTTTGAAGGGCAATGAGCGGCGTTCGTCGGGATCGACATCACGATGGCAGATGTCTACTGTCGGACTGTCTCTACTTAGTGCGACGCGCTCTCCTATCCGTTGTGATCGACAACCGAGGACGCGTCATGATGCCATTCCACATTTCTGCCGAGCGTGTTGCACACTGCATTCTATTATGTCGTTTTTCATTTGTGGAGGTTTTCTCATCTCTCTGTCTCGCCTCTCTCTCTCTCCGCTCCTATCACACACACACACATCACTAACATCCTCTCTCTCTCTCTGCTCTCTCTCTCTCGCTTTCTTCTCTCTCCTCTGATCTATCACCACACACACACACGACTCCCTATCTCTCTCTCTCTCTCTCTCTCTCTCTCTCTCTCTCTGCTCTCTCTCTGCTCTCTCTCTCCTCTCTCTGCTCTTCTCCTCTCTCTCTCTCATCTCTCTCTCTCTCTCTCTCTCTCTCTTCTCTCTCTCTCTCTCCTCTCTCCTCTCTCTTTCTCTCTGCTCTCTCTCTCTCTCTCTCTCTCTCTCTCTCTCTCTCTCTCTCTCTCTCTGTCTTCCTCTCTCTCTCTCTCTCTTTCTATCTATCACACACTCTCTCTTTCTCTCTTCTCCTTTCTGGGCAGAGTGATAATTATAACATTGCACTAGCTGACGCTATCCACCTGCTGCTATTTTTCAGTCCCCACCTGTTGAGCGCTTACATGAGGATCCAATTACTTCGTCGTATAGTCCGGATGTCGAGACGCGGAATAACACAACTCCTTGGAGGTGATATGACGACATGCTGAAGGGGAAAGCTGGTGTGACAACAAGCTCATGGCTGAGCGCATCCAATCGAGAGGGCGAGACTCTCCTAGAGGATGTTGTCGTGCAAAAAGTTGCCCAGCCAGTGACTACTGGCGACCGCGTGGACGCGCCGAACATTGTTGCTAAAGGCACTTCGCGCGTTGACCTTCTGTGTGCTAAAGCGACTAGGGAAGACATCGCCATAAGGTCGTGAAGAAATATTGACGAGAATTTATTTAATACAAGTCCTAGGATGAAATTCAGTAGTGTTTATTGCAGTCTTTCGTTTTTTCTCGCTTAATTTTCCAGAATGTTTGTTTGCCTGTATCAGATATATTGGCAATCTATAGGAGCGGTCAATTGTCTTATACGGTACAGAAAAAGGGCAAACGAAAGGAAGAATTTGTTGAAGCAATATGTTTTCGTAAAACCTATATTAAAAAACATTTAAATTGCAGCAAAGATAATTAATAACTTTATTACGCTTACTGTCAGAGATTCTAGATATTCGTGACGTGACGGAGCGTTATCTTCACTGAAGCATTCTTATTTTGTTGGCTATATAGGAAAAATACAGTCTTACATGATATTTGATTTCCTCTCTTTTTTAACAGATTAGTTAGTGGTTGATTTCTTTAGCTCTTGCGCGTATTGCGTTTTGGAGCCAACATGCAAGCATTCCATGCTGTCACCATTTGGCGCCGTCTGCAGGAGATTTCTTTACCATCGTCTTGACTTCATTCCAGAGTCAGGTTGACACGTCAGGTGTCGATATTTGGCCACACATTGCCAATTAAAGGTGCGGCTAGAAGTATGGCTGTTTAGATCTCTTTTAAGTATCATTCTACTGTGTACGTTATCTAAGACAATTTAGTTGACATGTATTGAGGTTAAACTGATGGGTATGCGTGCATTCATGCGGGACTGTTGTAAACATTTCTACGTGTATTAGCAAGAATGGTTAGATTTAGAAATGAAAAATCTCTTTAGTTTCACATTTACGTTTTCGCATTCAAAGATATAGATTCTTACCGTCAATTCTGCCCGGATGATTTTGTGGATCCATTACCACTATCTTGACAGCAATTGAGTCTGAATGTTTCAAAACCGGTCTCGCCAGTTACTTCACAATAATGAATGACGTTTACAACGTTCTGCAAACAATCCCGGGTTAAGTACCGTTTTCAAATAAACAGCCAAGTGACTTTTAAATCGCAGTTGAGCTGCCTATTAAGGCATAGAGGAAACTTCCCAAGTTGCTTTACCTCACGTAAACTTCTCTGAATAAAGGAGTAGAGGTTGAATGCCATCACATATTATTTATAGAATCGGGTATGGATCCAGGCATCTTGTGGGTGTAAATGTATGTAGCTTAACACATTGAAAAATATTATAGTTGTATGGTGGTTTTTATAAGTTAGCGATCAGAATATAAGCCGCAGCTTGCTGCGAATATTATGTATGTGCTTATAAAAGCGTTCAGCATGTGTTTTACGCTTACTAAATACTAACTGTCAGTGTGACAGCACATCACTAATTATTTGGTGGCATTGAGTGTGGTTGAGGTTGCCACAGATTAATAATCTGTTTTGTATTAATTGGAGTACATCAATCAATCGCTTGCTTCAAATTACCGCAATTTATCCGGAACTGTTACCCGACGTCTGGCTAAAAGTGACGCACGAAAACAACCTTACATGTTTCTGCTGGAACAGTGTGTGAAAAAACATCAAAACTTTAATGCTATCATTTTTAGCTTATTCTGACATAGTCAGATGCAGCTTCGTAGAATCGCATGAGCGTGCGTCCCGTCTTCTGATGCGTCCGTGCTGCTGCGATTCAACAGTTGGGCACAAATCTTAACGCTCGACGTACGGTCACGATATTCGGGACTGTGGGGGCGGGGGGGCGGAAATCGTTCAAAACCGAGTGGGATGTCGAAGCTCGGGGGTCAAAACGGTCAAAGGTTCAAGACGGTGTAAATAAGAAGGGGAAGGGCATTCCCCTCCCTTACTTAAGGTAGGGAGGTGAATGCGCAGAATCTGCAGCACAATCTAAACGGTTGACCTAGGCTGTGAATAGTCGGACCTGATATATAGCATAATGGTTAGGAAAAAGCCATCCACTGTGCGAAATTGGCATCACAGGTCAAAGGTCAAATGGGGCCACAGGGAGATTATTAGACATTTTCTTTCGGAGGACATCGGATCTGACGGAGCGAGTTGAAAAAACTTTTTTTGTTCAGCGGTGCTAGCATTGTTATGGCTTTATGAAAGGACCATAAATAGTACTTTCTGCTGACATCGCCGAAGAGTAAGTGTCGGATAACCTTTTGACCCTTCAAGAGGAGGTTAATCGGTTGGATAGTGAAAATAGCTATGCATCTCTCCAGTAGAAAAGTTGGAAATGAAAACATTATACATGTATTCACTCAGTACTGTGCTGCTACAGCTTATAACCTTGCTAAAGACACCACTCCCCCTCCAGTCCAGGTATGAGAAAGCAAGCAAACTTGCAGCTATATAATAGCTGTTACACACCAGAGCACGTATATCATATGATATACTAGACCGAATAATTCTGTCCCATATAACCTTTTTTATATTTTGGCGAGGGTTATATTGGTTAACCAATATAACCCTCACCAAAATATAAAAAAGGTTATATGGGACAGAATTATTCGGTCTAATGATATACGTGCTCTGTATGCAAACTGCTAATCACTGCACCTCGAAAACGTGAAACTTCTACAGAAAAAAGCCTTGGTTGTCAAGGATGGGAAGCAGTTTAAAATTTCGACTCCTGTACAGCCGAGCTGCCACAGTAATGCCAATTGCACTGCATGCAGGTGCGTATATTAAGATCAGAAGTGCATAATATAGATCTAAATTATACTCCCCTGGCAGGGAAAAAAGTACTTTTTTTTCACGGGAGCTCTTTTTCAAGTCTGTGGAAAAAATAGCTCTCATCAAAAATTTTACAGGAGCTATTTTGAGCCTCACGGGAGCAATTTCGGAGGTTTGAAGAGCGAATCGCTCATCGCTCCCGTGTATTTTTTACCCTGACCCCTGGTAAGATGTCCCCACGTACCCACACGTACCTGAATCTCGGATCATACTTGTGGCAATCCTTCTTCGGCACAGAGGGAAAGGTCGTGATCACACCGTTTTCGTCACCATAGTACTGCCACTTGAGTGAGGGAACAGTCTGCAGGTTTGTGCGCATGCGATCCAGCACTGTGTCATGAAGTCGCTTCGTGTGACCCGGGTCCGGCGCCACCGCCGACTGCGACATGCACATTGCCTGAGTGTTGACCTGCAACACAAGACACTGAATCAGTGCTGAGAGCCAATTCATATTATACTGCCCGTCTCAAGCTTTCGAAACCGGAGGTCGAATTCGGAGATTCATTTAGTGGGGGGAGGTTAATTACTTTCTCCAGAGAGCAGAATTAAAACTCTTAACAAGCAGGAGTCAAATTTAGAGATTCATTTGAGAAGAATGTTAATACCCTATCAAGAAAATCGAGGTAAGACTCCAGAAAATGGCCGTAAAATTCCAGAAAGCAGAAGATCTCATTCGGAGAGAGGGAGTTTCACTATACCCTCTCCATGGGCATGTAATAGATATTCGACAAGCTGACCTTCGACTTAAATCGCACGTCCTCCTCGTACAGGTCAGAGTTCAGGTTGCAGCAGTCAGGTACAATATGGATGGCGCTTCTCCCTGCCTCATCCTCCCTGTACGACTGCACGACAGACGCACGCAGTCCCTCCAGAGCCTCGAGTCTCTCTCGATACTTCTGCTCCAGTGCATCTGAAAGCTGTTTAAACCCCGTATATTACTATCATGGGTTAATTAATAATGACAAAATCAGAGGTTAATAATGACAAGTTTTGTCATAATTATTAATTGTTGATTACAATATTGTCAAAT